GGACAGGCATTGGGGGGCCTGGTTTAGAACAATGCCGTTTGTCTAATGCTTGTAGGCCTAACGCTTAATGTGAAGAGTTGCAAACCTTCTGATCTATGCTGTTGGAAGAAATACACCTACATTCTACAATGCTGAGTTGCCCTTTAGCTAACCCCATAATGCTCTGGGAATCCATTCGCCCAAAAGTGACACCAATGACAGAAAAAATAAATCTAAAAGTTTCCAGGTTTTAATCAACTGGTAAGGTTTTGTCCGCAGTACATGTGGCGATCAGGTAAGTGTTCTCTTAGATGTAAACAAGCAATTAACCCTTGCAGTGCTGGGGTAGCCCTGCTGCAAGGGAATCCCCCCCAGGAGAGGGGCTTTAATGTATAAAAAGGAGCAGAAAAACTATCTTATCAGCTTGATTGGATTGTAAGGCAAAGCAAATAAACCTACAACATGAGTGCCAGACCCAATGGTGACAAGTCCATATTGCTTTCATTGTTCGTCAGAAGATTAACAAGTCAACTTGTTTTGAGGGCCAACAACTCCTCCCCCCTCCATTTCCACTTTACAGAGCCATACCTGGTGTCGTTTCCACTTTACAGACCAGATTTGGTGCTGCTTCCCCATCAGAGAGCCTTATCTCCATAATGGCCACCATCAATGCAGTGCATGGCTTCTATGGGGAAAGGCTTTCATATGTCGGCAGGTTGAACGAGGCGCCCGATTGTGTGGCTGTGCGATTGTACGACAAGCAAATGCTACAGAAAACAATACAACCGCATCACATAGTTTTCAGTCCGCTTAGATCGGAAGGAAGCTTGGACGGTGCCAAGCGGGACACCTTTTTTGGATTTGATTGCACTCAAAGTAGTATTTCATTAAAATTAGGCTTCATGAGAAGGACAAGTTCTCTTTGTCTCCACACACCATGACTTTGCACTGCAGTAAGGCCTGGTTCACACCTAGGCGTATTGCATATGCGCGTCTGCGGCGTGTTTTTTTACCGCGATTCGCGGTAAACAAAAATTGCGCGTTTCCGAGGGCTACTTGGCTGTATCCCAATGGAAACGCGCAACAAAAACGGCCCAAAGTAGTACCTGTACGTTTTCAGGCGTGGGCCGTTTTGTAGCGCGTTAGGGACGGGCGGAAATACGCCAAGGTGGGAACCAGACCCATTGAAAACAATGGGATTTTCATGTTTGAGCGTTTTGTAGAGCGTTCATCGAGCGTAGAACGCGCTACAAAACGTTCAGGTGTGAACGAGGGCTAAAACCTGGAGTATTGATTTCAAAATCTCCAACTGCTCCCACCTATTGATCATCTGTCATATTCATTATGGTTGTAAAGGATGAGGAATAGGGAAGTGGGGGCGACAGTGCCACCTTGTGGTGAAATATGGATGTGACGACGTATCTGCATCAGGAAGAGTCAGGACCATACATGATGATGATGATGATGATGATGTGTCTCATGGTCTGCACTTTTATTTATTTTTTATTCAAGTCACGCCAGCAAACAAAAAGGCATAACAGTGCTGGAATCTGGAGTTAAAGTAGATGTAAACCCGACTGCTACCATCTTGGATCTATAAAATATATAATCTGTTTTATCTGCAGCTTTCAGTATCCCTGGTGATCTGCCATGAAGGTCCTTGTGCAGGCATTTCCTCTTATAGGGTGTGACAACACTGTATCCCTGATTCTCAATTCTGTGTGGTCACCTTCACACAGGATTCTGACTAATATAGTATTTGCAATGCAATTAAATTGCAGTGCTTTGCCATGTTGCCTACCCACAATTCACATATTGTGCCCCCCTGCCCCATGCTGCCTACCCGACGCTCACAATGTGCCACCCTCCAACGTCATTTTGGGACTAATAGTGTACCCCCCCCTCAATGTTTACTCCAGGTTCATACAGTGTGTACCCCATGTTTAAATCAGTCGCAAAGCATGCCCCCTGCCATGCTGTCTACAAGTAAAACGCATGAGCAGCTAACCGAAAAAGACTTTATTCTGAATAGTCAGTTTTACAAAATTGTTCTCCCTTTGACGAACCCCTTCCACCCCCACAAAGGACATCATGCCGTATTTTCCTCTGCCACAGGATCAGGCAACTGCCTAATATTTGGACCTTTTGTAGCGTCGATCATTCCACCCTGGTTCACTATACTTTGGCCAATCGGGATCTTCAGACCTGACAGCCCTGGAGGAGGCGCTGCACCCAGCACCCCACAGATACCCAAATTAAATCGCTCTGATCCAAACAGAAACTGATGTAGGAGGAAAATGTGATGGGGAATCTTTAGCGTCGTCTCCTGTCCAGACTTCTGGACAGGAGACTTTTTATTTAATACTCTTTTTATTTTAATAATACAATACATAAAACAAACGTATACATCCATAATTACATATTAAAACAGATAACAATACATACAACAAAAAAAGAAAAACAACCACACCTCTCCTTATAAAATTAATTTTCTCTGTGTGGTCACCTTCACACAGGATTCTGACTAATATAGTATTTGCAATGCAATTAAATTGCAGTGCTTTGCCATGTTGCCTACCCACAATTCACATATTGTGCCCCCCTGCCCCATGCTGCCTACCCGACGCTCACAATGTGCCACCCTCCAACGTCATTTTGGGACTAATAGTGTACCCCCCCCTCAATGTTTACTCCAGGTTCATACAGTGTGTACCCCATGTTTAAATCAGTCGCAAAGCATGCCCCCTGCCATGCTGTCTACAAGTAAAACGCATGAGCAGCTAACCGAAAAAGACTTTATTCTGAATAGTCAGTTTTACAAAATTGTTCTCCCTTTGACGAACCCCTTCCACCCCCACAAAGGACATCATGCCGTATTTTCCTCTGCCACAGGATCAGGCAACTGCCTAATATTTGGACCTTTTGTAGCGTCGATCATTCCACCCTGGTTCACTATACTTTGGCCAATCGGGATCTTCAGACCTGACAGCCCTGGAGGAGGCGCTGCACCCAGCACCCCACAGATACCCAAATTAAATCGCTCTGATCCAAACAGAAACTGATGTAGGAGGAAAATGTGATGGGGAATCTTTAGCGTCGTCTCCTGTCCAGACTTCTGGACAGGAGACTTTTTATTTAATACTCTTTTTATTTTAATAATACAATACATAAAACAAACGTATACATCCATAATTACATATTAAAACAGATAACAATACATACAACAAAAAAAGAAAAACAACCACACCTCTCCTTATAAAATTAATTTTCCTCTCAACATACCATATTTCTTAAGCCACATTACTCTTCAGAGTACCAATAATAAATAGGAGAGATATTATACCCAAGGTCCTTTACCATATTCAATCCACTTATCCCATATTCGGAGCGGGCTTTACTAGTGTCATATCCGCCCTGCTCCAAGGGTACACCGGACATAAAAATCACCTGAATGATTGATGTAAACAGTGTACACGTCTCCCCCCTTCCCCCACTAGCCAGATCTCACCTGCACTGAATCCTCAGCCTTTCCTCTTCAGTTTGTGAATACTTTCTGGCAGGAAAAGGGAGAAATATTTGACTGGTTACAATTATAGGGCGGAACAAGCTCCAGCCAAACG